TTTTCCAGTAAATTCGGTTTTTATCGAAGGAAATTCGATAACATCTGAAGGCTCATACGGAGTTCTTCCTTAGCAAGGCAGAATGCCATAGTTTTTGATGGTGAGGGTTCAGGTACTTCATTGACTCCGCATAAATTTGATTTACGAAACTGGATTGTTATACATCTTGTTTTAGCGTAACACGAGTCCCGACGCTTATTGTATCGGTTCAAAGACTTTAACGCGCCGATAAGAAAGAAAGATGTGCATATAGTCATCTGTTAGTGGCAATCGTGCTCAACGGCGTGTTTCAGAATATGATTATGAAACCTGGTGCGTATTGCCTGACCCCTTAAGAGACTTCAACGCACTGATAAGAAAAAAAATATAACCGTAATTTATTGTCATGCAGCATTGAGCTGAGTGAAAATCAGAGATGATTCAACGTATTTTTATAAATTCACGGAAGAATTTTTGATCAAAGAAAATCTTTCATCTCTCATCTTATAAGTCTCTCAAAGAGTCGTTATTTTAGGTTGAAAATGCCGACATGAATTCTCAATATAGTTCAAATTTACTAGAAGAAAACACAGTTCAAAATTTTCTTAAAGTTGATGACTCCTTTATAATAAATAATTCAACCAATTGTTGAGTGAGTAATTAGCAAACCGGTATTCTTAATATATGAATATGATTTGTTCTACAAATAATTACGTAATCTAGGGATTTCCCTTATAAGAATATTTTCTCTCCCTTACTTTTCAATAGTTTCAGCAACTGAAATATTTCAAATTAATATACACGATAATCATAGAAAGTCAAATTAGTGCAATATTCAGCGCTCTCTCGAAATTAAAAAAAATTAATGTTGAAAATCGTCAAAATGCAAGATAGATTTTAAGAAAGGTCTTTTAGAGGGTCTGCACTGTCTGCAGTTTGTATGTTTTAGTGTCCTGTGAACTATAAATATGAATCAAAGTCATTGTTTTGTTTCGATCAGATAGCTTCCTGCAGACTCCAGATGTAGTAGATGAAAGTAAAATTACTGTTTGCAAAGTGCGTATCGAGCGATATTAAGCTGAGATTATGCAAATTGCAATTTTATGTCAAATACTCGCTCAAAGAAGTTGTGATAGTGCTATAACCAGTCCGCTTATTCGAAGTTCGAAATAATCTTGATTCGTTGGTCCAGATACTCGCCGCGCTGCGTTACATAATGTACTGGCATCTCTGTTTTGAAACTTAATCTTGTTTCATAATGTTTCATTTTCTTGAGCGTGTGTCGAATTTAAACCTCCACCTTACGTTGAACTTAAATTGGAGTAATGCACGTTGGTGGTGGAAAAATCAGTTTAATCTAATTGCAACATCGAAAATCTGTTTTCAATTACATATATACGGGAGTTTACACCATGAGAACAATTTTCTGTTGGATCAATATTAATTAAACCAATTAATATTTCCGGGCATTAAGAAGATTTTAGGTCATCTGAACGAAAATTATCATCCGGGCGAACTATTAAGTGGAAAATTTTTCTCAGGGCGAGAAATAAGGAACTTAAGGTTATTCAGGAGTTAACTAAATCAACGTTAAACTTAGTTACTAAATTAGTCAGTTGCTGAAGTTATAGGAGCCGATTTCCCCAGAAGAGCAATTTCTGTCAAATTGGGTTAGAATTTTAGAATCCAAATTTTTAAAGGAAAACACTATTTGCGAGTAGTTTTAAGTAAGTAGGTTTCAGGCAGTTCAGTTAATTTTTTTGCCATCAAAGGTCCCAAAGTTGCACCTCAATTCAACGACTTTGAACCCTGGGCACGACAATATGAAATTTTAAAATGCGGTTTCTCGAAAGGGCGTATTGTTTCTTGCATTCTTCAAATTGGCATCATAATTCCGATTTCGTCTCAAATTTTTGGGCATATTTAATACGAAATTGTTTGTTACTCTCAGCAGCTGTACTTGCCGTTCAATGAAAAAACGCTTCATGAACATTCAAACATGACCAACTTTTTTTCTGATGAAATATTAATTTTGGTCTAAAAAATTATGCATATTATTTTTGCTTGAAATTTTTAGAATTACCAGATTGAATACCTAATAATGAACATTTTCTGTAAAATTCAAAAAGAAAATTCACAAGTTTCCCAGAAAGTTTGCATGCAATCGAAAGAAATTTTGGAACGCTTGAATGCTCGTATGGCATTTTGCCTTGGCAGGGCAGTGAAGCATCAATATCTCAATCACCATTCTGCGAGGCTAAAGGAAAACGCCGTATGAGCATTTAAATGCTATCAGATCTCCTCTCAGAAAATACATTTTGTTTGAAGAAAGTTAAGAATTTTCTTCCTTGAAGTTTTCATACATTTTAGCTCAAATTTCAAACAAAATTCTCTGTAAAATCTAGAAAAAAATATTCTTAAATTTCTACAAAAATTTGCGATTTGTTCCAAGCTATTTGGCAACGTCTGAAGGCTCGTATGGCGTTCCTCCTTAGCACGATAGTACTCTCTGNGGGGGGGGGGGGGGGGGTTCCCATGGAGTGGCGTGGCGTGCTTTGCGATGTATCGATTGATCTACCATTTAAGCCTATGGAATCGGATCAATAATCATGGTGTTCGCAGCGAACACCATAATAATCTATTCTTTACCATAGCTTCAAATGGGGAAATATCGATACTCGAAACGTTCACGCCTCGCCTCTGGTCCTATGAAAGGTATCCTACAAAATTGTATTCAAATTTTCGGTGCGAGGTATTTTTGAGAGTGGCGTATCAAAGGTTTATCGTTTTCAGCAGTCAATTGCCCGCTTGGAAGGAGGCTAACGTAATCGCAGGACCCAACCTCAGGTTAACCATTGCTCCCGTGGACAGAAATTATGATGGTTCGCGCCGGTGAATCATCGGTATCCACATCCGTTGTTGGAGGTTGCCTAGAAGAAGAGTCAAGGTGCATAATTCCCGACATTTTGACCTCCAAATAGGCAAAGTGCATTGCGAATAATTAAGACGCTGCATTCGGAATTTATGAGTGCAGAATAATCCTCAACCTGACCGCAGGCTCCTGGTTCAAGTTACGTTCCGTAAGCGGCACGTTTTAAAGTGGCAGGAGCTTGCTGGTAATCCGACATTTGATAAAGTCGTTTTGCAGTGGATATGAATTATTGTCAGCTGACAAGAAAAAATGCAATCCGATTTTCATTTGACTGAGAACGGAGTTGAGATGCGCTCACAAAAAGACGTAACTGACCTCCGAAGTAGCCGTGTTTCCCATGTAACTCTGTGCGTTCTAGGGTTTGTGTGAAAATGAAGTTGCGCTTTTCCGATACGCAGCGACAAAAATATACCTCAGAAGATTCTTCTGCCCATATTTTCTGTGACACTCGACTACGAAGAGGAGCAATTTTATTCATCATAATTTTCTCTAAGACTCAAGTAGTATGAGTTCTTTAGACTTACAATTAATCTCAAGTGGACTTTAAAGAAAAAACCTCCTATAATTTCTTCTCAGGCATGGATAAATAATGTGCTAAGTTTTATTTTCATTATTTTAAATTAAGTCTACGCCCTCTCCCCCTCCCCCCATTTATATATTTTTCGATGAATCGATGAATTCGATGATCGTTAATCGAGCCAATTTCCATAATTTGTCGGCTATTGTCAGAGCACTCAAAGATACTTCACGGTATAGTTGTGAGAACTATGATTACTTCAAATCTGTAATTTTGGAGGAGAATAATTTCAAATAAATAAATTAAACATGCGTGCAAACCAATACTGACACACGAACAGAAATGTATTTAAAATCGTGAAAAATAACCAAAAATTAGGCCCTGGAAATACTCGTATTTATACAGAATAACGCTTTATTTCTTAAAAATGGGCGAAGACAGGTTCTTTCGATGCAAACTTATTGTTATTAAGTTTTTTATTTATTACGGCTTCTTTTTACCCGTTTTAAGGATCACCTACCATACGTTAAAAAAAGGACTTTTCGTTTTAAACAACCACGCCTCTCTTTATGTGTCCCCTCAAACTTTTTATTACGAAGAACTGAACATTTTTGTCATAAAAATCGAACCGCAACTCAGGTGACCGGCATTTGGATTGCGATATTGAGACTCGAAGAATACTTCTTATTCGGGTTTTTGGTTATCTGCAATTTGATTTGGTTTCTATGACAAAACATTTTGTTAAAAATCGAAGTATAAAATCAATGAAGTTTCGACTAATTTTTGTTCAAACATTACTTTTTGAAGAAAAAAATAACTTCAGTAAAATTCAGGTATCGGTCTACTCTTGAAAAAATTATTCATCAACAAACAGTTTTAATTAAAAAAAAGTATTATAATCCATCTATAATTTATTATATTCGAATATATTTATTAATCTGCCATAATTTATTGTGTTTCTACATGAATTTCCTTATTTCTATGACATGATTTAAAATTTGTTTACAAACTGAGTTATTTCATTTGAGAACAATCATTGAATTTTTTTACAAAATGTTTTAAATAAACATGAATGCTCCTTGAAAAACACTAGAAAAATATTCAAAAATTAATCTACTAAAAAAAATTATTGAAATGTTTTATAAATTGTAAATTTAACTAGGGTGTTTCTCTCATTTTTTCAGGAAAAACACAACTTATTTTAAAAATCGATTTTTTCGTTTGTCTTTCAACAAATTTTCATGGATCGCATTTAGCAAAAAAGGAACCCGCGCAGTTACAATGTTGTAAAAATGTTGCTCCTTCATAATTATCTAAAAAAAATTCCCAGAATAGCAAATAGTCTATGCTTCCCACCAAAAAAGTGTTAATTTTAAAGGAAAATAATTGTGTAACTTTTAATACTGTACATAAATCGAGTATTTTTAAAAGAAAAGAAGGAGTTGCACAGTTTTGAAAACGCTGTAATTGCGCTGGCTCCTTTTTACTAAATGAGATCCCTGTAGGATCAACAATGCGTCAAAAATTCAAAACACCTCCGGAAAAAATTTCGGAAAAAATCTCGGTACTCACGTATATTTTTACTGGTGACAGGTGAGCCGGGGGACGCAGCTTGGCACACGACATACCCGGTGAAAAGCACGAAGAGCCTCGCGTGGAGATTATAGGAATTCATCTTGGAACTAACTAACTAACTATCAGAACTACGGAACTACACCTAACGCAACAAGACAGAGTGCGGGAAACGGACTGCGCTTAGAAGGCGGTCATGAGCGCGGCGACAATAAAACTGAGAGTGAACTAGTGGGCAGCGTAATGGGACTGGGACTTAATTCGATGTGAGCTTCGGCTTCGGTGTAACTGAGTCGGTGGCGCTGGAACTAGAGGTCTTCGAAGAGGGCATCGGCTAGGGTCGAGCGTGGTGCTACTTCCAAACCGAACCAGGACTGATTGACTGCGGAAAGTGTTCTCGCCGGCCGGCCGGTGGTGGATCCTCGAAGATGGCGCATGGCGGAGGGCTCGGGGCGGTTTTCTACCGGGGAGGGAGGTCGCCGATGGAGCTGGTAGGGTCGGGGCAAAAAATTGTGTGCTCAGGAAAAAATGGACGTATTTCTGCCAAACGGAACTATGTGCATTAAAACATGAGCTATGAGATCCATGAGAATATATGCATAACAGGTCTCACGTCGTAATGTACATAGTTCCGTTTGGCAGAAATACGTCAAATTATCGGATTCGGTAGTGCGGGAACGGAGGTATCAGATCTCATGGAAGTTGACAGGTTACAAGGAATGGAGAATTTGCAGGTGTCTGAAATTATGTGAATTTCATGTTTAAGTGAAATTTACTGAGTAAACTGAGGATGAGGATACCTTTGGTTTCGAAAATGAACAATTATTGGAGGAAATGTGACAAATTAAACGAAATACGTGTGTTTAAATATGGGAGATGCCGCCAAATAACCTCACGCGGCGGTACATTTTCTATATTTTAAAAATATTATTATACTATTTCCCATATCAGAGAATAATATATGAAAAATATTGCGAACTCAACTGATTAAGAACTCTCAAATGAAGCAAGGTAACCTTTTTGTGCAAATTCTTCATTACCGTCAAACGGGGCTACTTGGGACTACAGGCTAACATGGGACACTCGAGGGAATTTTCGCGTTGTTGTGTGTGGTAGCACTGTAATGTTTTTTTTTGTTCTTCTGATGCCATAACCTCATTCTACATTACTCCGGCATGGCTGTTCATGACCAAGAAGAATTTTGAAACCCAAATAAGTATTTAAAAAAAAATATTTGTCTCTTTAATATTTTTTCGTCATATTTGAACACCGTTATACTTTCCTGGGGATCTCAGTACCTTTCCACCACATGCAAACTTCTTATATGTGAGTAAGTCACAAATGTGCCTCTGTTGATGGGGTCTGCTTCAGTTTTACAAAAATTTTCGTTTTCATCCCCAAAATTTCCAAAAAACCAAAAAACTAGGAATCGCTGGGTAACATGGGACACCCTATTTTCTCCTTTTTAGTGATATTGTTTCCATGTTTTCCAATTCTACCTTGCATTACAGACTAAGAGGGAGGACCTATTGGCAGTGCTTTTGAGATAAGAGATTTCCTGGGTTATATTCAGGTTTTTATCAGTTAAGTAGGTACTGAACTGTTTATGACAGGTATTTCGTAATTTTACAAGAAACATGGTCCGGACGTACAAAAGAAAACCAGGCTCTTGGGCATACAGAGACTTCTCACAGAACTCATCGAAGAAAGCTGTCAAAGCAATTCGAAAGGGTGCTTCTCTGCGTAAGAGGGTAAGACGTCAACAAAATTTGGAATTCCGAAATCAACCCTTAACAGACATGTTCGCAATTTTTTGAAAGAATACTTTTCTTAATGCATACCTTTACTTACCTACTAAAGGTTGGTACCTACCTACTCAAACTGCCATAGGTGCCTCTTAGTTGATAACTTTGAAACGTTTTGACCTCAATATTAGCTTTAAGTTCCTCAAGGCTGTCATGCCATTTTTGTTTCCTACTTAATTCTTTAAAAGACTTGTTCAAATTTACCAAAATTGTATTATTTTATAGATAAATGTTCAATTTACTTTTTTAAAAATTCAGTTTACTGTCCCATGTTGCCCTAAAAGAGCCTAACATGGGCCAAACACTTGATTTTCATTCGTGTCCCAAGTTACCCCGAGTATCGGGGTAACTTGGGACAGTCGAAAATCGAAAAAAAAAAATATAAGGGGGGGGCATAAATTTTTTTTTCCTTTAAAATTCGATATGCGTACCAACGAACTACCTTTAGCACAAAAAAGTTTGGCAAAATAATGTATGGTTCGTTTTGGAGAAGCTTTTTTGTGCTAAAATCGTCCCAAGTAGCCCCGTTTGACGGTATCAATATTTGACTGCGAAAGCCTTCTATGCAGAATACCTCGGTGTGAATGATTCATAAATATAGTTAATAAGTTAAAATACGTTAATAAGTTAACAAAAAGATAAGTTCTGAGTTTCGAAAGTGAATAATTATGAGAGGAGATTCAGCCGAATTACCCAATCTACTTAAATATATGTTTAAATAGAAAATGCGTCACAAGGTGGCAGACTTTTTCTTTTTGCATCTATTTTGAAATAATTTCCCAAGTCAGAAAATAATTGAGAAAAATGCTGCAAATGCAGCTCATTAAGCACTCTCAGAATGCAATAATTAAACTTTTTTTTTGCCAACTCTCTATTTGTTGATTATTTTGTTACAAAAGAGGCCAAAGCTCTGATTGTTCGTAATTCAATCAACTCAATTTTTAGGCCAAAACTTACTCGGGACTAGAGCAAAACGTAAATGTTGTAGAGACTTTCATGTCGAATTTTAGGAAACGTGTATAGTTTTTATGATTTATGTCTAGTTCCACTTTTCTTGATTCGGTCATCCCTAAACCGTGGAGGCTTAGGAATGTGGCATTTGAGCTTAGCAAAAACAAGCAATATTGCACACTCAGTATTACAGACGTTCGGATGATTAATTTCAATGAATTCGTGCAATTTTTATGGATTTCGTCAAATGATATTTTATGATCCGTTGACTTTAGCTGCCGACTTAGAACTAGCATAATGTGTGTCTTCAAATGCTACAAAAATAGAAATATCTAATATAATAGAGGTTGTAGAAAAATTTCATCAATTTAATCAAATTTCACGTTTCCTGATTAATTTGTTATAGATTTAAACGAACTTTTCATAGCGGCTTCAGCTTGAAAGATCCCTGATATCGCCTTGAATATGAAAGTCTCAACATACAAATGAATCTTTAAGAAGTTTTTAAATCTATACGATTTCAAGGTACGTCTGAAAACTCTGGTTCTGATGTCTTTAAAGTCACAGTTATTAGTCTGGAGACTGAAAATTTTCAGATGAGCCGAGACACTCATCCCTGCAAATATGATTGCAACTTTTGTGCAAGCGTTTTTCTGAATGGGTTTGTCGACCAGGCAAGTCTCCTTTGCAAGCATAGCTAAATATGGGAGGAGGAAAGGGGGGCTACTTCTCAGACATCTTTTTAGCACTCTTCAGAAAATTTAGGGGATTTTGCGAGATCATTGAGTGACGTTTCTGCCATCTTTGAAATCTTTGTATGTCATTTTTGTTATTTAGTCAACTTCTCTCTAAAAGCAGCTCAAAATTTCTCCTGACATGTCTCAATTTTCAAAATTTTACCGAATTGACCCAAGCCTCCCTTTGAAGCTGGGGAAAACCCCTCTGACCTTTTGGGGTCTCTCTAAGCCCTCCAGACCTCCGTTCTTGAAATGCCTCCCTGCACCACCCTTGCAAAAAGAATGCCTAATTCCGCTAATAGAGCAGACTACTCAGCATGGTTCTAATGAGAACGCTGTGGGCGAAAAGGAATTAAGATGAGAGTAACTACGTACATGATTAAAAGCAGCATACCAATAGTTAAAAGTCTAAAAGTTAAAGTTACTAATAGTTGAAGTCTAAAAATGGGTATCTGTATTCCGACGTTTCATAATCTCCTGTCTATAATATTTTGCTATGAGGAAGAAAAAAAATGAATAATTTTAACGGGTGAAACAACTTCATAAAAGATTTTAAAAAAATCTGTTTGGTGGTTTTCCTTTTAAAAAAAATAAATAAATTAAACATTTGCGAATAGTTACGCCGTCACACTGGAGATACCCATTTCTTACTTGAGATATGCCGTTCCTATCTGGGGCATTTCCTACAAAGGTTCTCAATTCTTTTGCTAGCCTGAAATTTATTAAAAAAATCCAGGACGACTATAAAAAATTTCGGCTCTAACTCGTCATCGCGCTTTATTCGGATGAGTAGTGACGTATGATGAGGTAAAAAGAGCCTAAATCTTCATTCAGGAACTAAACAAAAAAACAAGTAAATGCGTCGTTTTTTTCCAAATAATTCGCTTGCAAGCCATTGAAGGAAAAAAATACTTTATATTGTCCCAGTGCTCTCCTCTAACAGTAATCCGATCATGCAAAAAATAAACATTATGATAATCTTTCCTCGCAAAACTTGCTTTTTCTGCCCTCATTTTCCGCAACACCTTCCTTTTAAAGGCGAGTGTTTCCTTCAAAAAAGAGCCCAAATCGCGGTAGACATGGACACGGCTAGACTTTTAAGAGCTTCCTTCACTTCATGTTGACGGAACCACGATCTGGTCAATTATTTCCTTGACTTTGACACTTGAGGGTAAATTTCGTCGCCGTAAAGAGGGCAGTATTGAGCGAAATAATCGTGAGCCTCGGTCATAGTGCGTTTCTACATTAACGAGGGCTCATGACGAGCTTAAGGTAGGACTCGCTCGCTCAACGCCTCAAACTTATCCTTGACATTCTTACGTCAACTCACGTGCATAGTCTTCAGTCCGCAAGTCGTCGCCTCTCTGACGCAAGGCCATATCTCAATTTCCAGGCGAGCTCTGTTTTACATACACATCCATGCTTTTTGGGGCTCATGCAGGTATCGAAGTATGCCCATACGCCAGAGGAGTGACGAAGTATGTTTGATGAAGGGACGTATCCCATCTTACATACATTCTAGTTTGAAGGCGTCTTGTTACCTGTCTCACGTGGACAGAGGTGTTTAATGTGTTTATCTCCTCATGACTGATTTTTAAATTCAGCACTGGAAGAAAAAAAACACACATTGGATCTGGAGTCCAGACTCTTAAAAACATCGACAAGAAAAAATACTCTTGATTCAATCAGATTTAGGCTTAAATTAAGAACCAAAAGCCTCCTAATTTGAGCAGATTTCCTTTTGATTTAAGCTTAAATCTGATTGACTCAAGAGTCCTTTTTCTTGGCAATGTTTTCAAGAGTCTGGACTCTAGATCCAATGTGTTTTTTTCCCCAGTGAGTGCTCCTTGTTTCCGAGCCGGAGAATTGATCTCAGGCCGAAATCTGGTTGCTCAAGTC